CACGCTTCCAGAAACGACCCAACCTCTAGTCTTCACCATGCGGATGCCATCATCTGCACCTCAGTCATTTTGGCCATCGCAATATGCACCACTGGGCCTGAGACCCCCGATATCAAGCGCGTGGTCCTATAGCAACCCCTTGAGCGGCCTCTTTACCTCAGCTCAAGCAACCCAGCGGCATGCCCAGCCCCCACGCCGAAAGTCCGCGCCCGAACAGAATGCGCTGGAACAGCCCCACCCTCCGCCTTCGAGCTGTCGTAGACGCGCTCACATGGATGACCAACTGCACCTTCAGTCGCCGATTCCTTGCCGCCCCCCCATGAAATTTCTCGGTCGCCTCCCTCGTCAGCCCGTTGTTCTTGGGTGTCGCTGGGCGCCCCCTGAGGCGCGGCCCGCGCCAAGCGCGGCGGGGGTCTTGGACGTGGAAGCAGTGGGTCAGGAAGCCAGGGCCTGGAAGCCAGTGGAGCTCCAAGCGCGGACTGGCAGAGGACATGGCCGCCGCCCTCATCAGGGAAGGAACCCTCCAGGGTCTGAGGCCCCCCGTGCAGGTTCCTTAACCAATGCCCCCACCGTAATCCAGCCCTCCGCCGGCTTGAACTCCATGCCCCCCCCGCACCATGGATCCACGTCGCAGCCCAAGTTACCCGATGCCGATCTTCGCGCAGTGCATGACGCTCTGGCTCTCGAGCTTGTTCAGGCAGGAAGATGCCCGTGTCCCTGGGCGGCTCAGCTCGGCCAGCGTCTCTCCCCCTGACCCTCGATCCTGTTCGGCAGCCACGTTCTTTGTTGGTCAACCGCAGTGCGATGTTTAAGCGCCGCGGCACCGGGCAAAATTGGCGAGCATTTGCTTCGCGCGCAGTTCAAGTTCCGAACGCAGCGCTCTCTGCCCCTTCCTGCCCTTCGCCCGGTCGCCTCACGCATCTCCCGCGCGTTGCTCCTGCCCCTCGACGCGAGCGGGGCCCCCTGGCCCCGGCCAGCTCGGCCCCGCGATGGCGCGCACAATGGAACGGCAACTGCCCAGCCATGCAAGGGTCACGCCAAAGCAGCAAGTCCGTCTCAGCGCTCGGATGCACGACGCCACCGGAAAGGTCGCCCGTCCGCATTTGAGCGCAGCGGCTTAGCCAGTTCCGGCGCGTGCTGCATGCGAGCCGTCGCTCTGGGCCCTCGCCCCTCGCCGCTGCATCATCATCTATGCCGCTCGCTAACTTCCCCGAACCGTGCCGAAGTGAATCCGCCGGCCCCCTCGCGGGACCACCTGGCTGCGGGGCGAGGGTTTGCCATGTCCTGCGCTAGTTCCAGCTTCCAGTTTCCACTGTTGCAGCTTTGCTTCATGGTGCTTGCTGTTCCTTGTTGTAGTTCGCGCGAGGGGGGGGGGGGGCCGAAAATAAGCCCGGTTGGCGTCTCCTGGGAGGGGTCTCAGAAAACTCTGCGGGAAACAAAATTAACGCCCATCACGCATATCGGCGGGGCCAAGGTCGAAAAAAACGATGGGATTTGCCACGTTTCTGAAATTCGGCGGCGCCCCTCGCGCAGACCGGCGGAGCCAGTGTCGAAAAAACAATGAGATTTGCCGCGTTCCGTAATTCGGCGGCGCCACTCGCGTCGAAAAACCAATCAGATTTGCATTGTTCGTTGTTTGGGTTTGGCGGCGCCCCCCGCGCAGATCGGCGGAGCCAAGGTCGAACAACCAATGGAATTTGCCGCATTTCAAAAATTCGGCGGCACCCCTCGCGCAAATCGGCGGAGTCAGGGTCGACAAACCAATGGGATTTGCAATATGTCTTAGATTCGGCGGCGCCCCGCGCGCAGATCGGCGGAGCCAGGATCGAAAAAAAAACAATGGGATTTGCCGCGTTAGAGAATCGGCGGCGCCCCTCGCGCAGATCGGCGGAGCCAGGGCCCCCCCCCGCCAAAAAAACAATCGGATTCGCCACGATTCGCCAAACATCGGCAGCACCCCTCGCGCAGATCAGCAGGGCCAGGGTCGAAAAAAACCATTGGGATTTGCCGCGCGCCAGAAATTCCGCGGGAAATCTCAGCGCGCGGCGTGCGGGGGCAGGTTCAACATGCAACGCTGAGTTCAACAATATCATCCGGATCTCAATTTCTCTCGCCGACGCTGCTTCGCAGCGGCGCCGAGGTCTCATGATTTAGCTCTTGCGTAGCACATTATCCGAGGGGGCCTGCGGCAGGGGGCGAAACCCATGCGGACGCTGCTGTCGATCGCCCTGCTCTCTGCCAATTGCATCGCCAAACCAAACTGCGCTTTCTTTTTGCATCTCCCCACCACCTGGCAATGGCGCCCTGAGGAGCTGGCCAACGAGCCCAATTTCATCATCATGAGGCGCCCCGACGCGCGGGCCACTGCCCCCTGCGCAGTAGGGCTGGATCTGCTCGCCCGCGCGACCACCGAGCCACTCCGAGCCTTGCCGCGATGATGGCTGTCGTCGCGCGCCTGGCTGCCTGCCGGATATGCGACCAGAGCGAACCAGACCACCGAAATTCACGCCTCCACCAACTGGGCGCGGCGCCCCGAAAAGCGGGACGCCGCCGTGCAAACATCCAGCTGCTGAGGCGCCCCGACGAGCGGGCCATTGCCCCGTTTCCGATTAGGGTGAATCTGCCTAGCGGCCCGACCGCCAAACAACTCCAAGCCTTGCCCCGATGGAGACTGCCGTCGATCAGCCCGCTGTCCGTCAGAGCCAACACCAGAAATTGCCAACGCCCGTCGCGCCGACCTCCGCAAACTGGGATAAGCGCCTGGGGAGCGGGCCGACATCAAAGAAATTCGCATCATCCTGTGGTGCCCGATGCGCGGGCCACTACCTTCAGCCACGGTGTCTACTCCGCGGATCTGATATGGTTGCCAGCATCACTCCAGGGCCTCCTTGCGATTCTTGCAGTTCCACTTACTCCAAGCCACGGTCGACTCGAGATCGCCATGGGGGCCAAGCTTTTCCTTGCCTAAGAATTTGGTCGTTTCGCTTTCTATAATGATCAATGCTATGAGGTCTGCAACCACCTGCCAGCAACTTCGCGCATAATTCTCTCCGCTTCGCGCCGCCCAGTTCGCCGCAGTCTGCCGACTTCCACGCCGCTATGGTGTCCATCTCTGCGGACTCCACGTTCCACTCGGCACCTGCTGCGCTGGCACGCCTACGTTCGAATTCAGCTTTGCTCTTTGGCTTTGCCGCAGGCTGCCACTTCTTGGGCTCGCGTGCCTCCGCTCGGAGCTCCGCGACTTGCTGCTGCGATCCTTGGGCGGCTCTGTCAGCCGCCTCTTGCGGGAGTCGGGCAGCTTGTCTTGGCTCAGTTCCTTGCTCACGGTTGCCTGGGTCGCCGCCCTTAAGAGAAAAAACTTACCTGACCTGACTTGCATCAGCTCAGGCAGCTTGCCACTAAGTTTGCTGTCGGCCCACATCGCAAGCAATAGTTGAGCCCAGCCTTCCGACGCCTAAATTGACCCCAGTGTCGACGGTCGCGGTCATGCCATCTGCTCCAACTGTACCGTGATGACGTTGCTGCAGCCTCATACAGACCCGATTGACATGCCAGAGTTTGCTGCTTCGAAACGATGGCCGCGCCTCCTCCAACTTTCCCCTTGCCTTCCGTGGCAGCCCTGTCCCGTCTCCATGGCACGCCGCGCAAAAATCTTGCATGTTGACACACGGAATATTAATGTCATGAAAAGGCTTCTGCAATCGTTCCTTCTCAGCTCGGACCGCATGAAAGCACTCCTCCCAATGGTCCGAAATACTGGCGTAAGTCGGGTTATCGAATCAGGCCATCTCTTGAGAAACGATGGCCAATCTCCCCATGGTCTTTCTGATATGTTCGTCGGCGCCAACACCTGCGGGGGAAGAGCTAGCGCCAAGGTCCACCTCCATGGCGCCACCATGTGCGCCGCCAGGGACATTGTGAGCCGCAAGCTGCGCGTCGAGGGACATGAGCCGAGCTAGAACTTTCCGAAGGTCCCGTCCCTTGGGGCCCCCACTCCGGGAGGCCGAGGGGGCTGCTTCTTGGTCGAGACCAAGGGGTCCTGCCGTGCATCCCGATTCCGCGGGAAACAAAACTTTTTTGTCCAGCGGACAACCCCCACACACTGCGCATTGAATTCCCAACTCCACATCATTAGATAGACACCCCAAAACGATTCGTGCGAGATTTGCATCACCAGTCCAACTGAAACCTCTGCTGCGACGTCCCGGGGCCTGGGCCGTGGGCCCCGCCGGTACAAGCGAACAAAAAAACTTGAATTATTGTTCAGTCCCAGGAATGAATGCGTCGGGCGCCCCTCTCCATCCTTGCCGCACAACGGCGGGCACATGTCCGAACTCCTGTGAACGGGGTTCCAATCCTTAAACCCAAATGGTTGCAGATATTTTTCCTCCTCCTCCTCCTCCTCATGTTTCTCCTCCTCCTCCCTTGCTACTCCTCATCCTTTTTCTGCTTTTCCTCCTCCTCCCTCCTCCTCGCTTCTCACCCACCCGTAAACTAGAAAGATGACGCAGGAGGGAAGAAGAAAGGTATGAGGGGAAGGTAAATAAGGAAGATGAGAAAGGTCTTGATGAGGATGAGGATGAGGAGAGAGAGAGAGTAGGAAGAACAACAGGCGAGGGCAGAAGGACAGGGACGAGGACGGAGACGACGACGCGGCAACGACGACAACGACGACGCGCCAACGGGCTTGACGACGCGCCAACGACGACGAAGACGGCGCTGCGAATCATCCGAACTCATTCACGGAGGACATCACATACCCTCAGGCAACGTAGGAAGCATGCGACAAACGCCACAAGCGATCGGAAACCTTGAGAGGGCGACAGGAAGGATTCCCAGAGACCTCTGAAGGTGCAGGAGGGATCCTTGAAGGTCTCTGGAGGTCACTGGAGGGAGGCTCCTGAAGAGCCAAACTGGCAGGCACACCCACGCAATGAAAACCATAGCGAACTCGATCGATCGACAATGGCGAAGCCGCTGCCCCGTCGGCGCCAGGCCGCCTCCACGCTCTTTCTTGAAGATGCCGGCACCACCTCTGCGGGGGGATCCAGGGCACCGTCATTGTCGTTGACGAATCCGTCGTCGTCGTCGTCGCCGTCATCGTCACCGTCGTCCTCATCGTCGTCCTCATCGTCCTCATCGTCGTCGTCGCCGTCGTCGCCGTCGCCGTCGTCATCGTCGGCGTCGTCGGCGTCATCGTCGTCGGCGCGTGCTCGTCGTTCCGGAGGTCTCCGGAAGCCTCTAGAGGCGTCCCAGAAAAAAAAACCTTCAGGAGGGGTCCAGAGGCTCAGACAAAACCAACAACGTAAAAAATATCTCGTCATCGCCGCCGCCGTTGTCATCATCATCGTCACCGTCATCGCGTCGCCGTTGTCCTTGTCCCTGATCCCCCCTCCTCTCCTCCTGCTCCCTCCCTATCTCCCCCATAGGTCGGTCCAGGAGGTAGAAGGAAAGGGAGCAGGAAGAGGAGGTAGGACAAGATAGTCGTCGTCGTCGACGATTTCTCACTTTTGTAAGTTGTTCTGCCTTCTCAGTGTTATCTACGGACGTTCTCCGATGCTCCTGGATGCTTAGAGGTGTCCCACAAGGAAATTCCACAGCGTCGCCGCTGCCGTCATCTCTGGTGCTCTCGACGCCATGCTTGAAACCTATTCTCCGACGCGGGCAGAAATTCAGCCCTGGACCCGAAAACGACATCGGGGGGCCGCCACTGCAAGAGAACCACCCGCCTCCTCGAGACATTGTCGTCCTCCCCTCGGACAGCCCAGCGAGGCCCAAACTGCGGAAAAATGCCAGCCGTGTTTTTGTTCGCGACGCCGGCGTGCTGACGTCGGTGTCGGCGACGTCGTGGTCACAGGTCTCCAAGTCTTCAGAAGACCCCTGAGCGCCCCAAGAGGCAGCCTCAGAGCTTCCCGAGGCCCATAAGCCCACCGAAGAAGAGGGCGAGAAGAAACGCCCCAGACGACTGCCGTCGTCACCGCCGTCGCCGTCGCCGCCGGTGTCGGCGTCGGCATCGGCATCGGCGTCGGCGTCGGCGTCGGCGTCAGCGTCGGCGTCGGCGTCGGCGTCGGCGTCGGCGTCGGCGTCGTCGTCGTCGTCGTTTTCGGCGGTGGTGTCGGCGTCGGCATCGGCGTCGGCGTCGGCGTCGGTGTCGGCGTCGTCGTCGTCGGCGTCGTCGGCGTCGTCGTCGTCGCGGTCGGCGTCGGAGTCACTGCCAGCGCTGGCTGTCGGCGCCTCCAGCGGCGTGCTGCTCGGAGGCGGGCGTTCAAGGGCCTGCTCGCCTGTCCGGCGGGAGAAAGCGCCCCGCGCCTCCTCATCCTCCTCCTCATCCTCCTCCTCCTCCTCCTCCCCCTCCTCCTTCCCCTCCTCCTCCTCCTCCTCCTCCTCCTCCTGCTCCTCCTCCTCCTCCTCCTCCTCCTCCTCCTCCTCCTCCTCCTCCGCCCCCCCGTTTGCGCCTCCACCTCTTCCTTGCGGATACCTCTTCCTCCGGTTCGCCGGGCCACCCTGACGTGTGGCGGCAGGGTGGGCCAGGGCGGGCCGGACGTTTCGCGGGAGATGTCCCCCCACACCGAGTGCTTCTGACACTTGACGTTTCCAACCTTTGCAAGGCTGGGCAGGAGAGCCCAGAATCGTAAAACAAAAAAAAACAATCCCAACAACAAAAAAAGCAATGCCCTAAAGCAATCAGAAAAACTCAAAACAAATCGTCCCCAGACTACGTTTGACTTTTTTCATATTCCTCCTGTAAAGGGACAAGGGACAGGCCCGACTGAAGCTTGGTATGGCGCACCGCCCCCAGGAAGGCCCAGAATCGAATCGACAAGTCGGATCGGCGATCAAAAGGAATGGAATCGGCGGGAATCGGCAGCCGAGTCAGGAGAAGTCGAGCCGGCAGATATCGGCAGGCGAGTAAGCCTGCCATAAAAAGTCGGAATCCAAATCGGAATTTCAAGTCGAATCGAATCGACATCGGAAGCCATCGAAATCGAATCGAATCGGAGGAATCGAAATGAGCCCTGGATGGAGGGCGGGTCGTTTCCAAGAGGGGGTTATCGCCGTATCGCCTCGAGCACTCGTCCTAACAAGCTGCAGCATATCCCAGGAGGGGAGGGTGTTGCTTCCAAACGGTGATCCTCACGGCATCTCCAACACATTCGTTGTACGCGCTTGCAACATTTACAACGTTGCATGGCGGGCCGCTTCAACATGAAACTGCAGTCAACCAGCATAAGAAGGACGCACGAGAAGGGTGCAAGGGCCTTGGCAGGCCATGTCGACACTGTGCGAGTGGGGCGCGGCCAGCGAAAGCGGCCAAGGATGAGCCGAAGGGGAAGGATTCAAGGGTAACCTTGGAAAGTTGCTCATCCTTACTATGCGGGTTGACTGTATCGGCGGCGAGCCTGGGGGAAGTGAGAAGGAGACGGCCTTCTCGGAAGGCTCGGAAGTCCCCCGGCCTTCCGAGAAATTTTCGAAGCCGTCCCCGAAGACGCAGACGACTTC